TATATATATATATATATATTAGCCTCCAAAAACGCTGAGCAGTGTTCGAAACATTTGAAACTGATGTTTGAAAGATTTCGCAAATTCGACATCAAGATTAACTTCTCAAAGTCAAGAAAGTGCATCTTTGAGACGCAGGAAATTCGTTATTTAGATTATTTCACTAAGAACAGCATATAGCTTTTGCCGACTATGTCTCAGAAATTCAGCAATACCCGGGACCAGCCACAGTTACTGAACTTCGTCAATTTTTGGATCAGTCATCAATTTCTATCGACGATCCTTCAAAAATGTCACATCGATTCAAGCTTCCTTATACGCCTTCTTACCGGAACAAGGAAAAACAGTTCCGGCATTGATTGGTCTCTGGAAGCCGGAAAAGCACTCCAAGAATGCAAGACAGCTGTGGCTAATGTTGCTCTTCTTCATCACCCAAACGAAGACGCCACATTCACATTACTATGATCTTTTGGACATCATTATGGGAGTCACCTTTGAATAGTTCACTAAGAACTGCTGGGAACCTTCAGGATTCTTTTTCAAAAGTTCCTCTAATACTCAACCGAAGATATACGTATGATCGTGAACTACCAGAGCAATTTTCAGCGGAATAAAGTTCTCCCAACCATCTAACCGAGGCTAGGAAGTTGGTGATTAAGACTGATCATAAACTCATTACATCAGAAGTCCGAAAAATCACCGCCTCGGCGGTTTCGCCAACTTGATTTTATTAATCAATCACGTTCACGTTTCAGATAATATTATCGCTGACGCGCTCTCCCGCATTAACACCATCAGTATGCCAGTCACGGTCGCTACAGAGGAATTGGCATCTGCCCAACACGACGACAGAGAATTCCATGATCTTGTTCGTTCGCCTGAGACACTTGATTTGTGTCGGAATCAGAATCGACAACACCGAGACGTCGTTATACCGTGACGTCTCCGCATAAGAAATTCATCCCTACGTTCCTCGGAGTTTGTAAAAGCGTCTATTTGACGCAGACACGTGGACTGTACCCCAGTAATCGAGCCGCGAAGAAAATCACCCAGAAAAATCCGTTCGCCCGCTATAACCAAAGACATCGCTGACACTGGGCTCGCACTTGTTTGTCCTGTCAACAGAGCAAAGTAAGCGGACACACGAAATTGCCCCATGAACATATTGATACTCCCGACATCAGTTTCGCCCATGTGGACTTGGGCATTATTGGCCAACTGCAGCTGTCACGATCAGTACTTAACCATAACAGATTTGTTGGCCCGAAGAAATTCCAACCAACGATATTACAGTAAACCCCATTGTAGAGGTGTTTTATTCATGCTGGGTTACCGCTCGCTTTAGAGTTCCTGCCATGATTACTGTGAACTAGGGATTTCAATTTGAAAGTCTATTCTTAAAGTCGTTGGCACATCTAATAGGCTCTAACAGGACGAAGACCAAGTTTTTCGAGAATTTTTTCGAGACCTGTGGTGTGCAGGAAGAACGGGATGAAACCGAACTGAAAAGCCACGTGTCATTTTGCGAAATTCGCAATAGTTAATGAAAAATTAATTAATCTATATGAGCTAATGAACGCGCAAAAAGCGGTAGGCCGAGCTCTGTACAAAGAAAAATGGCTTACTTGTGAAGATCTTGCAGTGATGAGCATCAACTGATTTCTATACGGAAATACGTGCGTCAAGAAGAAACGTACCAGCAGACACAAAATAACAGTTATATAGAAAACGTTAGTTGCAATTTTCTACTCAATAATATAACTGTTATTTAACGCACGTGTCATATAACAGTTGTATTATCGAGTGGGAAATTACAACTAACATTTATATAACTGTTACTTCGTTTGTTGGGACGTCTCTCGCTATATTAGTTGATAGCCCTCGTTGCTAAATCCTCAGAAGTAAATCATTTTTCTTTATACAGAGTTCGGCCTATTGCTTTCCATGCGCTTATTAGCTCATACAGATTAATTAATTCTTCATTAACTACTGCGAATTCTGCAAAATGATATATGACTTTTCTGTTTCACCCGTTCTATCTACGCATCACGGATTTCGAGAAAATTACCACTCTGTATATAAGTGATCGCGCCACAATACAGCTAGGAAAAGAGTTGAAGTTGAAGCACGCGATGTTGCAAATAGCGAATATAGAGTAGTCTTGTTTATTTGGTGAGAGGATAAAGAGATTCTTTCCGTTTGCGGCATCCGTGACCTTCTTACTCTTCCGAAGCGGCGGATCTCACCAATTCTCAGAAACATCGCGAAATCAATACCGACGCGCCACCTGTCGCGTGACCGCGCAGTCACGAGTGAATTCAGCCGCGGCCGAGAGGTGTCGCCACTGCGAGAAGCCGAGCGCCATTCGAGTCGGTCCGTTCGTCACATAACCGCCGTTTCCGATGCGAACGAACGAGGCGTTCTCGCCGGCCACATCAGCAAACGACGCCATTGCTGAAAAGAGAGAGAGAGAGAGAGAGAGAGAATTTTCCCGGATCTTCGCGTAGGCCGCGAATGCAGATGTGCCGTCGCGTCGCCGAGGCTCTTGTTTCCGACCGAATTCCGGGGAACGAGAGCCGAATGGAGGCGTGCCCAGGAATTTCCTGGAAGCTTCGAAATGCTCTCCCGGAGACCACAAAAATGGCGGGCGGCCATTAAGCGGCTCGCGTTTCGCTCGCGACGAGGTTGGCTCAAGGTGCCAGCTTCGAGTTTTCCAGCGCGCGACGAAATGTCAGAGAATGGCCACGGCGTTTTTCTACACGAGTGATTTCCGAGACCGACTTTTCATCGAGCACGAGGTCGACGAGTCGTCAATGACGGCGATATACGCGCAATTTGTTGTTACATCGGACGACGAATTGATTTCGTTACGTGGCCGCCGGTCGCGTCGCCACGACGCATTCTTCTTTCTCCGCCGAGATCGATGGAGAATATCAAGTCGGCGGCTCCTATTTTCGTCGGAAGAATCTGAGGTCTGTTTGCACGATCTCCGTGTGGCGCAGCTACACGCGGGACTCCGGCACGTTTATTCCGGAGTCAACGGTCGACGCCGTGCCGCGTGTGTGTGTGTGTGTGTTGTGTGTGTGTGTGGCGTGCTTGGGCTTCCCTCTACGTTCCCATATCATATTGCTATGATTCAATGTTAAAAAAAAAACCAAAATGTTCAACTTCGAGTTATCTGTATGATAAACTGCATATCAAGTCTTATCGCGTGTCATATCAAAGTCGACGTCATGTCTCGAATAATATTGTAGTGTATTGATTCCGTATCAGATATGCTTTAGATTTTATTTATTTATTTTATTTAAGGGAGCATAGCTCTTTTATACAAAATATGATGCGTTATATTAATACAGTTACTCATTATATTACATATGTATGTATGCACTGACAAATGGAACGGGAGCAAAAGCGGCACATAATTACCGACTGAATTCATTTGTAACTTTGTATAATTTTATAATACGTTGAGCAGAGGAAAAAGAAAAACAGGAATAATGACTAGTGCGAATGAAGGATGCAAAAGGTTGGATTAAGATGGAAATGTAAAGGAACCGGGAAGTAGCAGTACAATGCGATGATAGTAGATGTGTAAATTGGAATAAAGTAAGGTTGATTGGATAATGTAACGGCCGTGATAAAATAGTTAATAGTAATAAGTAGAAGAGTGGAAATTTGAATTGTGAAATCTATCGACTGCGTAACTGCTGTGATATTAGGATAAATATATAGGCAAGAAAAGGCTTAAAAAAAATATATATATATATTTTTTTTTTTCCGAGGGAAGAATATTGATATAAAATATCATTTAGACGACATTTTACATTAGAGATTATATATAAAAAAAACAATTCTGTTGGTGTAACTGAATTTTTCTGAGGAAGAATTTGCCTGGAGACCAAATAAAAATTCGATTGTATACTGAGAAAAAGATTTCTTTAAATTTAAAAAGATTTCCTATATATATATATATAAAAGATGTGAACGGATGAGCGTGATTTTATATATATATATATATATATTATATATATAAGGTATGAAGGGATAAGCGTGATTAAGAAATGATTTAGTAAGCCAAGTTCACTTCTTGGTATTGTAGCTGCAGTAATAAATATCTATCTATAACGCGTTGAGCAGGATGATAAGTGGAAGTTTACGGTTAGGAAGACCTCGACGATTCACGGGGGGGGGGGGGAGGCACGAACGTATGCTATCTACAAATCCCTATCTCATCCGGTGTATTTTATATACGAGAAAGAGAGAGAAGTGTGTATGTATATGTGTGTGTGTGTGTGTTTTCGCAGTTTCACGCAAAGGCAAAATAGGTCGCGTTAATTCACGAGCGAGTTCTCGACTTCCACGAGTACTGAATAAATAAACAGCAGATTAGATTAAATTTGGCACTTTCGTCTCCACCGACAGACAGATGGCGGAGACGCAAACCCGTCGAAATTTCGTTCGTTCTTCACGTATGATGATTATAACGCGATGATACGACGCGAGCT